ACCACCAGCCTACAGTGATGACCTACACTCTACTACCACCACCAGCCTACAGTGACGACCTACACTCTACTACCACCACCAGCCTACAGTGACGACCTACACTCTACCACCACCACCAAGCCTACAGTGACGACCTACACTCTACTACCACCACCAGCCTACAGTGACGACCTACACTCTCACCACCACCAGCCTACAGTGACGACCTACACTCTACCACCACCACCAGCCTACAGTGACGACCTACACTCTACTACCACCACCAGCCTACAGTGACGACCTACACTCTACACCACCACCAGCCTACAGTGACGACCTACACTCTACACCACCACCAGCCTACAGTGACGACCTACACTCTACTACCACCACAAGCCTACAGTGACGACCTACACTCTACTCCCACCACCAGCCTACAGTGACGACCTACACTCTACTACCACCACAGCCTACAGTGACGACCTACACTCTACTACCACCACCAGCCTACAGTGACGACCTACACTCTACTACCACCACCAGCCTACAGTGACGACCTACACTCTACTACCACCACAGCCTACAGTGACGACCTACACTCTACTACCACCACCAGCCTACAGTGACGACCTACACTCTACTACCACCACCAAGCCTACAGTGACGACCTACACTCTACTACCACCACCAGCCTACAGTGACGACCTACACTCTACTACCACCACCAGCCTACAGTGACGACCTACACTCTACTACCACCACCAGCCTACAGTGACGACCTACACTCTACTACCACCACCAGCCTACAGTGACGACCTACACTCTACTACCACCACCAGCCTACAGTGACGACCTACACTCTACTACCACCACCAGCCTACAGTGACGACCTACACTCTACTACCACCACCAGCCTACAGTGACGACCTACACTCTACTACCACCACCAGCCTACAGTGACGACCTACACTCTACTACCACCACCAGCCTACAGTGACGACCTACACTCTACACCACCACCAGCCTACAGTGACGACCTACACTCTACTACCACCACAGCCTACAGTGACGACCTACACTCTACTACCACCACCAGCCTACAGTGACGACCTACACTCTACTACCACCACCAGCCTACAGTGACGACCTACACTCTACTACCACCACCAGCCTACAGTGACGACCTACACTCTACTACCACCACCAGCCTACAGTGACGACCTACACTCTACTACCACCACCAGCCTACAGTGACGACCTACACTCTACTACCACCACCAGCCTACAGTGACGACCTACACTCTACTACCACCACCAGCCTACAGTGACGACCTACACTCTACTACCACCACAGCCTACAGTGACGACCTACACTCTACTACCACCACCAGCCTACAGTGACGACCTACACTCTACTACCACCACCAGCCTACAGTGACGACCTACACTCTACTACCACCACCAGCCTACAGTGACGACCTACACTCTACTACCACCACGAGCCTACAGTGACGACCTACACTCTACTACCACCACCAGCCTACAGTGACGACCTACACTCTACTACCACCACGAGCCTACAGTGACGACCTACACTCTACTACCACCACCAGCCTACAGTGACGACCTACACTCTACCACCACACCAGCCTACAGTGACGACCTACACTCTACTACCACCACCAGCCTACAGTGACGACCTACACTCTACTACCACCACCAGCCTACAGTGACGACCTACACTCTACCACCACCAGCCTACAGTGACGACCTACACTCTACTACCACCATCAGTCTACAGTGACGACCTACACTCTACTACCACCACGAGCCTACAGTGACGACCTACACTCTACTACCACCACCAGCCTACATTGACGACCTACACTCTACTACCACCACCAGCCTACAGTGACGACCTACACTCTACTACCACCACCAGCCTACAGTGACGACCTACACTCTACCACCACCACCACCAGCCTACAGTGACGACCTACACTCTACTACCACCACCAGCCTACAGTGACGACCTACACTCTACTACCACCACCAGTCTACAGTGACGACCTACACTCTACTACCACCACCAGCCTACAGTGACGACCTACACTCTACTACCACCATCAGTCTACAGTGACGACCTACACTCTACTACCACCACCAGCCTACAGTGACGACCTACACTCTACCACCACCACCAGCCTACAGTGACGACCTACACTCTACTACCACCACAAGCCTACAGTGACGACCTACACTCTACTACCACCACCAGCCTACAGTGACGACCTACACTCTACCACCACCACCAGCCTACAGTGACGACCTACACTCTACTACCACCACCAGCCTACAGTGACGACCTACACTCTACTACCACCACCAGCCTACAGTGACGACCTACACTCTACCACCACCACCAGCCTACAGTGACGACCTACACTCTACTACCACCACCAGTCTACAGTGACGACCTACACTCTACTACCACCACCAGCCTACAGTGACGACCTACACTCTACTACCACCATCAGTCTACAGTGACGACCTACACTCTACTACCACCACGAGCCTACAGTGACGACCTACACTCTACCACCACCACCAGCCTACAGTGACGACCTACACTCTACCACCACCACCAGCCTACAGTGACGACCTACACTCTACCACCACCACCAGCCTACAGTGACGACCTACACTCTACTACCACCACCAGCCTACAGTGACGACCTACACTCTACCACCACCACCAGCCTACAGTGACGACCTACACTCTACCACCACCACCAGCCTACAGTGACGACCTACACTCTACCACCACCACCAGCCTACAGTGACGACCTACACTCTACTACCACCACCAGCCTACAGTGACGACCTACACTCTACCACCACCACCAGCCTACAGTGACGACCTACACTCTACCACCACCACCAGCCTACAGTGACGACCTACACTCTACCACCACCACCAGCCTACAGTGACGACCTACACTCTACCACCACCACCAGCCTACAGTGACGACCTACACTCTACTACCACCACCAGCCTACAGTGACGACCTACACTCTACTACCACCACCAGCCTACAGTGACGACCTACACTCTACTACCACCATCAGCCTACAGTGACGACCTACACTCTACTACCACCATCAGCCTACAGTGACGACCTACACTCTACTACTACCACCAGCCTACAGTGACGACCTACACTCTACTACCACCACCAGCCTACAGTGACGACCTACACTCTACTACCACCACCAGCCTACAGTGACGACCTACACTCTACTACCACCACGAGCCTACAGTGACGACCTACACTCTACTACCACCACCAGCCTACAGTGACGACCTACACTCTACTACCACCACGAGCCTACAGTGACGACCTACACTCTACTACCACCACCAGCCTACAGTGACGACCTACACTCTACTACCACCACGAGCCTACAGTGACGACCTACACTCTACTACCACCACCAGCCTACAGTGACGACCTACACTCTACTACCACCACGAGCCTACAGTGACGACCTACACTCTACTACCACCACCAGCCTACAGTGACGACCTACACTCTACTACCACCATCAGCCTACAGTGACGACCTACACTCTACTACTACCACCAGCCTACAGTGACGACCTACACTCTACTACCACCACGAGCCTACAGTGACGACCTACACTCTACTACCACCACCAGCCTACAGTGACGACCTACACTCTCATATTTCAAGATAATTCTTCATTTAACAATCTACAAAAGAGTTATAAGTTTCATGCAAAAATATAGTCAAAATATTCTTTGGAATCAGAATGTAAAAAAAGTAAACAGGAAAAATCATAGATGAGGAGCAACGAAGAACCACTTGATCAATTATTAATTTTCAAGAATTGCAGTTGGACGTATTTTCAAATTCTCCTCCTGACCACTTGAACACCACTATAATTAATGAGTAATTTGTTCGTTATCTGTTCATGGGCTTTATAATAAAAATACTGTGAACACGGCTATGATAGTCTTATTTTTTTTTTTAGATTGTGCTGAACTGTCTCGGGTTGTTAACAATTACATTATATTGTAATTCGAAATCACTTTTGTAAATCTTTAATTTATGTAGCCTGTAAAGCTGCATTCTATTTATTGCGGCAGTAGTTACAAAGTTAGTTTGCACATAAGCAACAGCACCTACCATTATTTACAAAGTCAATATAATTTTATGCCCCATTTTTTTGTACGCCAAAATATTACGAAGGAAAGAAACTAAGTTATGTAGTTTAATCATTACTTAAGGGATAGACTTCCTTCCATTTTAGGGAAAGGGGAAGGTCTGCTAGAATGTAAATAAAATTCAAAATTAAGCCCTACCCAGCGACGAATTTCTGGTAAGAAGCTTCGCTTATCTCGAAAGTTTTTAAGTGCCTTTGAAGCGCTGGTGTTCGGTCATTCAAGATTATGTGGCAGGCAATCTATCACCACTATGGCGCTCCTCCTCGCTTAAATAAGCCAACATAGTAAATTCTACATGGCAAGTGCCAAGTTTGTAGTGATGTGATTGAAGTGTGTCACTGTGCAAGTACACGGTAAATATACAGCGTCTCACATGACACCCTCGTCAACACAGTAAGGAAAGTAACTTAAGCTCCTCGAATTAACCGGCTTTGACTGATTAAAAAAATGGAACTAAAGCCCAACCGAATAAAAAGGACAACATATAGACTCCTCCTCCAATAAATGGGGAGCTTTATATATAAATACACCATCTATAAAGAGTACACTAGATCGATGCAAATAATTTTGAAGTGACATGGGCGTGGACGAGAGAAGGGCGATGGAAGGACAGTAGAAAGACTATGTGCGAATTAAAACAAAGAATATTTTACCAAACATTTGGGTACGAGCTACGATGAGGTATAATAAACAGAAGGTCAGCAGTAGTTTTATACAAGCAAAGCACGCCCAAGCGGCCTTCTATGGAGAATTTGACTGTATTACATTATACCTGACTACAGAGCGCAGCGTGCGGCGGACATGAGTGGTGGTAGTTGTGGTAGTGGTGGTAGCTGCGGCTGCTGATGCTGCTGTAGTGGTTGTGGTGGGAAGCTGATTTGACCATCCCCCTCTCCAAGTCTTCTTACCTAAGCCTCGATTATTATTGCTGCTGACACCACTACCGCCTTGACTGTTGTTGTTGGTGTTGTTGCCGGTGATGCTGTTGCTGGAGGTGTTGTTAGCTGTGTTGGCGCTGCTGATGCCGAGGCTATTAATTATATTGTTATTGTTGTTATTATAAAACCTACGGAGCTTCTTTCTCTGTCGGTTACGTCTATTGCGCCAGTTTCTACGGGCGTAGTGGCCGAGACTGAGAGCTGGTGAGCGCGGGTGGTGGAGTGGGTGTAGAGGGGCGGGCGTAGTGGGCGCGGGCACTAGGGCAGCAGGAGGAGGGGCGGCGGTGGCCAGCTTGTGCAGGAGTGCTGTGTGCTGTGCTAGTAAGGATGCCACCAGCTCCTCCCAGGGACTCTTTAATTCACTACCGCCCACCCAACCTGTGGGCGCCGCCATGCCGCCCAAACCCGTCCTCCTGGTACCTCCGACGGCTTCTTAAGAAGATGAGAAGTGGTGACAAGACTTCGGGAGCAATGTACGAGGAATTTATCTTTTGTCTGACTCAGTGCCAGTCACAGGTCATCATTGCGTGACTATCTTTGCAGAGACCCACACGTGTGATAGTGAGTGTGAGAACATGACCACGTGCGGCTAATGAACCTACGTGTCCCCTAGAACGTGGTGGGTGACGGCGTAAGTCACAAACGTGACTTAACACTAAAACTTGTTAACTTAATGTCCCAAATGAGGGAGGGAAGGCTACCAATGGAAGACTTGGTTGTGCTGGTACCAGCGAGAACTTATCCTACATCACATTTATGGAAGACTTGGTTGTGGGTACGTGGCGGAGGTTACATGGTGGATGTGGGTGTGGGTGTGGGGGAGGGCGGAGGCTGAGGACACACAAGTATGGTGGGGGTGGTGGGGATCACCTCACACCTGCCCCTCACCGGCCTCACCGTCCACCTCACACTCATGCCTCACACCTCACACCTCAGAATACACACTGACCCGCCGCCGCTGCCCTCTACTGCGGGCCCGCCCTGTCCATCGCTCCCTCAACCTTTACACTCATCTTGTATCCGCTTATGACTACTACTGAGATCACTCTCACCACCACAGGCAAAAGCACCAGTAGTAGGAGTACCGCAGGACTTAAGGTAATCTGACTGATGGCCACGACGGATATCGTCCACTTCACGAGTTTGTCCTCACTACCAACCAATCAGGCGGCTTCTACGGTATAGAGGGAGCGAGGGCGTGTAGAGGAGGGCGGGCGTGTAGGGGCGTGCGGGCGTCCGTCGGGAAAGGACGCAGGGGGGCGACTGTGGCGAGGTATTATCGCACCCGCTGCTCTCCGCCCCCTGGCGGGCCGGGCTCTCGGCTTCATAATCAATAGTGGCAGCCTCACGCATCTCCCTCGCCACCAGTAACATCCTCGCCCTCTACGTCCTTCCACCTTAACTACCAGCTTGCTCCAGGCCGCTTACCCTCGCCCACACTCCTCTAACATCACCAAACATGTTGGGTACGAGTCGGGCACACCACTACTAACCCACCTCCCAGAATCCCCTCCTTGTCGGGGATGCTCACCACCCGCGCCTCCATAACCCCCCTGGGAGACTCCCTTCTCAGCCTGTCGAGCACAATAGACCAGCAAATCTGGTGCGGGAAGGCACCTCTTGCCCCACACGCACTCACCTTATACTTCTTCCTTTATAACACCACACACACACACACACACACACACACACACACACACACACACACACACACACAAACACAAACACACACACACACACACACACAACGCACCACACACCACACACACACACAAACACACACACACACACACACACACAAACACACACACACACACAAACACACACACACAAAACCAAACACACACACACACACACAAACACACACACACACACACACACACACACACACACACACACACAACACAAACACACACAAACACACACAAACACACACACACACACACACACACACACAAACACACACACACACACAAACACACACACACACACACACACACAACACACACCAAACACACACACACACACACAAACACACACCACACACACACAAACACACACACACACACACAAACACACACACACACACACACCTGTACACAGATCAAAACATGAACACACACAAACACACACACACACACACACACACACACACCTGTACACAGATCAAAACATGAACACACACACACACACACACACACACACACACCTGTACACGTGGCGAGGTGTCAGAGTGGGCACCTGTGACCAGCGGGGTCCCACAGGGGTCAGTCCTAGGACCAGTGCTGTTTTCTGGTATTTGTGAACGACATGACGGAAGGAATAGACTCTGAGGTGTCCCTATTTGCAGATGACGTGAAGTTGATGAGAATTCACTCGATCGAAGACCAGGCAGAACTACAAAGGGATCTGGACAGGCTGCAGACCTGGTCCAGCAATTGGCTCCTGGAGTTCAATCCCACCAAGTGCAAAGTCATGAAGATTGGGGAAGGGCAAAGAAGACCGCAGACGGAGTACAGTCTAGGGGGCCAGAGACTACAAACCTCACTCAAGGAAAAAGATCTTGGGGTGAGTATAACACCAGGCACATCTCCTGAAGCGCACATCAACCAAATAACTGCTGCAGCATATGGGCGCCTGGCAAACCTCAGAACAGCATTCCGACATCTTAATAAGGAATCGTTCAGGACCCTGTAACACCGTGTACGTTAGGCCCATATTGGAGTATGCGGCCCCAGTTTGGAACCCACACCTAGCCAAGCACGTAAAGAAACTAGAGAAAGTGCAAAGGTTTGCAACAAGACTAGTCCCAGAGCTAAGAGGTATGTCCTACGAGGGGGAGGTTAAGGGAAATCAACCTGACGACACTGGAGGACAGGAGAGATAGGGGGGACATGATAACGATATACAAAATACTGAGAGGAATTGCCAAGGTGGACAAAGACAGGATGTTCCAGAGTTTGGGAAACACAGTAACAAGGGGACACAGTTGGAAGCTGAAGACACAGATGAATCACAGGGATGTTAGGAAGTATTTCTTCAGCCACAGAGTAGTCAGTAAGTGGAATAGTTTGGGAAGCGATGTAGTGGAGGCAGGATCCATACATAGCTTTAAGCAGAGGTATGATAAAGCTCACGGCTCAGGGAGAGTGACCTAGTAGCGATCAGTGAAGAGGCGGGGCCAGGAGCTCGGACTCGACCCCCGCAACCTCAACTAGGTGAGTACACACACACACACACACACACACACACACACACACACACACAACCTGTACATAGATCAAAACGAACACACACACACCTGTACAGAGATCAAAACATGAACACCCACACCTGTACACAGACCAAAACATGAACACACACCCCACACACACACACCTGTAAACAGACAAAAACATGAACACACACACACACACACACCTGTAAACAGACAAAAACATGAACACACACACACACAACACACACACCTGTAAACAGACAAAAACATGAAACACACACACACACACACACACACCTGTAAACAGACAAAAACATGAACACACACACCTGTACTAAGACCAAAACATGAACACACACCTGTACACAGACAAAAGCATGAGCACACACCTGTACACACTCCAAAACGTCAACACCCAACACACACACACCTGTACACACAAAACCAAAACATGAACATCACCACACCTGTACATAGGCCAAGCATGAACACACACACATACACCTGTACAAAGACCAAACCATGAGCACACACACCTGTACACAGCCAAACATGAACACACACACACACACACACACACACACACACCTGTACACACACCAAAACATGAACATACACACAAACCCGTACACAGGCCAAACATGAACACACACACACCTGTACACACACCAAAACATGAACATACACACACCTGTACACAGGCCAAACATGAACACACACACACCTGTACACAAAACCAAAACATGAACATACACACCCCCTATACACAGGCCAAACATGAACACACACACACACACACACCTGTACACACACCAAACCATGAACACACACACACCTGTACACAGGCCAAACATGAACACACACACACCTGTACACACACCAAAACATGAACACACACACACCTGTACACCCGGCCAAACATGAACACACACATACACACACACACCTGTACACAAACCAAGACATGAACACACACCTTTACACAGACCAAAACATGAACACACACACACACACACACCCCCACACACACACCCCACACACACACACACACACACACACACACACACACACACCTGTACACATACAGTAGTTACTGTGGAGTCCTCGTCCTAAAACGAAGAATGTAGATGAGATACTGTAGAATCTAAAGGAACGCTACAAAATGGCTCCCAAATTAAAACCAAACAAAAAAAAATGTTACGAAGGATTTGAAAACATTAAAATGGAACTGTCTGTTCATACGAGGAAAAGAGGAGACATGGTAACCACATACAAGATTACTAAAAGAGGAGACATGGTAACCACATACAAGATTATAAAAGAGGAGACATGGTAACCACTTACAAGATTACTAAAAGAGGAGACATGGTAACCACATACAAGATTACTAAAAGAGGAGACATGGTAACCACATACAATATTACTAAAAGAGGAGACATGGTAACCACATACAAGATTATAAAAGAGGAGACATGGTAACCACATACAAGATTATAAAAGAGGAGACATGGTAACCACATACAAGATTACTAAAAGAGGAGACATGGTAACCACATACAAGATTATAAAAGAGGAGACATGGTAACCACATACAAGATTATAAAAGAGGAGACATGGTAACCACATACAAGATTACTAAAAGAGGAGACATGGTAACCACATACAAGATTACTAAAAGAGGAGACATGGTAACCACATACAAGATTATAAAAGAGGAGACATGGTAACCACATACAAGATTATAAAAGAGGAGACATGGTAACCACATACAAGATTATAAAAGAGGAGACATGGTAACCACATACAAGATTATAAAAGAGAGAAAGAAAAAGATGATTTCATAGCACAATTTAATACGAAAAAAAGAGGACACAACTGTGAAAAAGAACAAATGGTGTAGGAAAAAAACGATAAAGGTATCTAAGAGGAGGTGGAAGATGTTGATAAGAAAATTCTGGATGAGTAAGAGACATGTGCAACACTTGGGTAACTTTTACTGCGGAAACTTTCTACCGGCACACTGTACTTCTTCACTAGAATACACACATGACTGAATTCCACTGAGGAAGCCTATGTAGGCGAAACATTCCACCAATAAAAATACCCAAGTGCTGCACGTCTCTCAATCTACTTGTCGGCATTTACATTCAATCTACTTGTCGGCATTTCCATAATTA